GTGGTAGGAGTGGGGGAAGGGCGCTGACATAGTTGCCTGTACCCTAACTGGCGACGGCCTGGTCGTACTGCTCGCCGGTGAGCAGCCTCTCGACCTCCGAGGGATCTGACATGCGCACGCGCAGCATCCAGCCCGCGCCGTGGGGGTCCTCGTTGACGCGCTCCGGGTGGTCGATGACCTCCTGGTTGGCCTCGATCACCTCGCCGCTGATGGGAACGAACAGGTCGGATACAGACTTCACCGACTCGATCTCCCCCATCCTGGTGTCCTTTTGCAGTGTGGCGCCAACGGAGGGCAGCACGATGTAGACGACATCGCCGAGCTGGTCCTGCGCGAAGAACGTCACGCCAATGGTGGCAGTGCCGTCATCCTCGACACGCACCCACTCATGCTCGGTGGTGTAGCGCAACTCGCTGGGGTGCTCGCTCATAGTGTGCTCCCGTTGCTAGGATTTTGGACGCCGGTAGAAGGGAAGCTCCGTCACTTCCGCCTCCACGAGCCGCCCACGAAGGTCGATGTGGACCGTTTGGCCGGGCCCTGTTTGGTCGGCTGAAACATAGCCCATAGCTATACCAGTGTCAAGAATCGGCGAATATGTGCCACTGGTTACCTCACCTATGGGTTCGCCCGATTTAAGGATGGCTGAGCCGTGCCGTGGAACGCCGCCGCCGAGCAGACGGAAGCCGGCGAGCCGCCGTCGAAGGCCGTCCTCCTCCTGCAGCTCCAGGGCGTCGTGTCCGTGGAAGAGTCCCTTGTCCATGTTGACGAAGCGCTCGAGGGCAGCTTCGAGGGGCGTCGTTGAAAGGTCCATGTCGGAGCCGTGCAGCCGGAGGCCCGCCTCAAGGCGGAGCACGTCGCGGGCGCCGAGGCCGCAGGGCGTCGCGCCGGCAGCGGTCAGCGCGTCCCACAGCCGCGGGCCATAGGCGGCGTCAAGGGCGATTCTCCACGCCATCCTCGCCGGTGTAGCCGGTCCTGCCGATGAACCCCTCCGAAATCACGCCGCCGCCGAGATTCAACGGGAAGGTGGCCCCGCCAAAGGGCCGCAACCTTGACGGCTTTGGCTCGTCGGGGCAGAGGTCGTCCATGACCTCGAGCGCTCGTGGGCCCTGCACGGCCACCAACACCGTCCGCTCCGTGCTGTCGATGAAGTAGACGCCTCGAAAGGCCGCGGCATGCTGGGTCATCCATGCGGTGACCGCGTCGCGGTTGGCGGCGTTGCAGACGAGGCGCAGCATGTCGCTGCCGTCCTCATACTGCGTGTGATACAGGATGACGTCGTCGAGGATGCCACCGGTGTCGGCGAGGATGAAGCCATAGCGCGCCCGGCCCACCGCAAGCGTCTTGACGCTGAAGGTTACGAGGCTGTCCATGAACGATGCGGCGCCGGACCCGTAGATGCCGATGCGTCCCATGTGGGACACGTCGAAAATGCCGACATCGCTGCGGACGGCCTTGGCCTCCGCGATGACGCCCTGGTATTGCACCGGCATCTCCCATCCGGCAAAGGGCACCATACGAGCGCCCGCGGCTATATGGTTGTCGTAGAGGGCGGTGCGCAGCAGGGGGGCAGCGTCAGACGTCAAGGCGTTCTCCAATCACGTACTATATCCATCGTATGAATCGGCAATCGTTCGTGTCAATGAAGGCCTCTGCGCCGCTTGCCCGCGAACGCTTCGTCCGGTATGCTACTTCGCTAGAGTTAGCCGCAAGGAGGACCCGTGAGCTGGCGCTACAGGCTGCACCGCTGGCTGCATGACAGCCCTGGATCACCCATCAGATTCACTATTGTGAACCTTGCCATTCTGGTCGTGTTCGGCGCCATCCCAGCCGTCATAGACGCGAACATTGGCAGCGAAGAGCTGCGATGGAGCCTCACTGTATGGTTCGCCTTCATCGTCGGTGTCAGCGCCGTGGCAACCTGGAACGTGCTGATCCGGATGATGACGCTGGACTACAACGACGTGAAAACCCGGTTGGAGGACGCGGAGTAGGCGAGGCGTCCCGGCAGCCCCCACCCTCACGCGAAAGAGGTACGGTGCCTACGGTCACCACCATCGCGATTGACGGGCCCGTGGCATCCGGAAAGACCGTTGTCGGCATGCGCATCGCTGACGCGTTGGGCATCCGGTTTCTCGACAGCGGCGCCATGTACAGGGCCGTCACCCTGGCCGCGTTACGCGGCTCAGTTTCGCTTTCCGATGACGATGCCCTGACGACTGCGCCACGATGGCCGAGCTGTCGCTGGGCGATGCCCCCGTCGGCACGCGAGTGCTGCTGGACGGCGAGGACGTGACCGACCGGCTCCGCGACCCCGAGGTGGAAGGCGCAGTTTCCCGCGTGGCGGCCGTCGCGGGCGTGCGGCACGTGCTCGTGTCCAAGCAGCAGGCCGTGGCGCGGACGGCCCCATCGTCATGGTGGGGCGCGACATCGGCACGGTGGTGCTTCTCAACGCCGACGTTAAGGTGTTCCTGCAGGCCAGCGTGGAGGAGCGGGCCAAGCGTCGACACGCAGAGCGGGTCGGGACGGACAAGGAGACCTCGCTGGAAGCGGTGGAGGCGGCGCTGAAGGACCGCGACTACATCGACTCCCACCGCGCCGCGTCGCCGTTGCGACCTGCGGAGGACGCCGTGGCCATCGATACCGACACGCTGGCATCGATCAGGTCGTCGAGAGGGTCCTTGAGTTGGTGTCGGAGCGGAGCGAGCATGCCTAACAAAGCGTACGGCATTTCCAACGTGATGATGCGGGGGGCGCTCCGGCTTTCGCCAATTGGACCGTCACCGGGCGGGAAAACGTGCCAATGACCGGCCCGCTGTTGGTGGCCGCAAACCACTTGAGCAACATTGACCCGCCTCTGCTGGGGGCGAGCCTGCCACGGCGGCTGAACTTCATCGCCAAGCGCGGGCTGTTCAAGCCGGTGATCGGGGCGTTCCTGCACGCGTACGGGGCCTACGCGCTTAACCCGGAGGAACAGGGCAAGGACGTCGAGGCGCTTCTGTGGATGCGCAGGCTGCTGCGGGAGGACCGCGCCGTCGTTGTCTTCCCGGAGTCCCATCGACACCCGGAGGGCGGCATGCGCGAGGGCGTGCCGGGAGTCGCGCTGATGGCGGTCAAGACGCAGACGCCCATCCTGCCGGTGGGCATCGCGGGGTCGGAAAACGTCGGGCCCGTCTGGCGCATCGCGGTGCCGACGGGCAACATCTCCGTGACCATCGGCGAGCCATTTACGCTGCCGGCCTTAAAGGGCAGGCTGGAGCCGGAGCAGCTTCGGGAGCTCATGGACAGCGTTATGTTGCGAATTGCGGCCTGCCTGCCCGAACGCTATCATGGCGTCTACGGAAGAAACGCCCAGCCAGGATCAGACCCCACGACCTAGCCGGCCCACAACCACCGGGCGTTTGCGCGAGACAACACAATGGACGTCCAAGCCACGCCCCAAGAGAAGCCTACCTTCAAAGAGCGTCTCGCAGTCGTTTACCTCCGCACTGCAACACCGTAACTACCGCCTCTACTTCACGGGACTGCTCTTCTCCGTCACAGGATTTCAGATGCTTCTTGTCATCCAGGGATGGCTCATCTGGGACATCACGGGCGACCCAAAGGCGCTGGCGTATCTTGGGGGCGTGACGGCGGTGCCCACGGTCTTTCTCAACCTCTATGGCGGCGTCATCGCAGACAGGCTGGACCAACGCCTGCTCATCATGATCGTTTCCGTCACCATTGGGCTGCTATTGGTGGTGATGGGCCTGCTGGTGAGCCTCGACATGGCAAATCTGTGGAACCTGCTCGTCCTGTCCTTCCTCATCGCGGGCGCGCAGGCATTCGACAACCCGGCCCGGCAGGCGCTCTACCCGCACCTGATCGCCCGCAAGGACCTGATGAACGCCGTTGCGCTCAACTCCATCGTGTGGCAGGGCACACGAGTGGTGGGCCCGCTCGTTGCGGGAGCGATGATCGCGAGCGTGGGTCCCGGACCGGCGCTGTTCCTCGGCGCGGTTGGTTTCGCGGGCATGGTGGCGGCGATGGCGGCGTTGCGGGTGCCCCCAATCGCGAGAGCGGCGCACGGCAGCATGGTGCACAACCTCATCGAGGGCATCAGCTACGTGGTAAAGAACCAGATCTTCGCTGTGCTGATTGGTCTGACGTTCCTCAACAGCTTCTTCGGCATGTCCTTCATCATCCTACTGCCCATCTTCGCCACCGACGTCTTCAAAGTCGGTCCGGAGGGCCTCGGACAGATGCACGCAGTGGCGGGCGTAGGAGCAATTGTGATGGCGCTTGTAGCCGCGGCAATGAGCGGGTCACGCAACAAGGGAGTATTTGCTCGTTGGAGGCGCGGTGGTCTTCGGTGGGTCCATCATGGTCTTTGCGCTGTCGACCAACTACACGATTGCGCTGGCGGCGCTCTTCGTCAGCGGCGCGTCGACAACGTTCTACATGGTGATGGTGCAGACGTCGCTGCAGGCAATGGTCCCCGACCACCTGAGAGGGAGAGTGTTCAGCATCTATAGCCTCACCTGGAGCCTGTTGCCGCTCGGGGCGCTGCAGGCGGGCCTTGTCGCGAACTGGATGGGCCCGGAGTTCGCGGTGGCGCTCGGCGGGGGCGCAGTCGCAGTTGTTGCCGTATTTGTCCTGCTGCTGCACAAGGTGCGCATCGTCGGCATCACCACGCAGCAGGCGCTGGAGCGGGCCTCGGCCTAGGGGCGCTCTCCTCGCAATTTGCCTCCAGGGTCAGCCACGCCAGGCTTCGTCATGCATACCCTTCTTCAATGCGACTGAACCTTGCGTTTGGCGGAGGTTTGTTTCGTTTCGATTCGAGCAAGATCCTTTTTGCGAAACGAGTCGCATGTAGCTGGACGGCCTGAAGATAGAGAGAGTCTCGCGACAAGCGGCGACCACAATCGCTGCTTACACCTACCGCGCCGGTGGGCGCAAGACACCCGCACGGACAAGCCCCGCCAAGGGTAGCCATTGCATGCGCTTTCGTGCCGTCGCTGGCTTCCTTCAGAGGCAGAGACGGCGAGAACGAGTGGGGTGGCCCGAGGTCTAACTCATCGGAAGTTGGGACGTTTATATAGTCAAATGGGTCAAGAAGAGCACGGAATAGAGATGGCGATGCCGAGTCGATGGGTAATACGGAGCACATTAAACAACAGGAGGTACGGAGATGCACAGAGCAGCACTCAGGCGAAGCTTCTTCCTCCCGGCGGCGCTTGCGATGGCGCTAGTGTTTACAGCGGTCTTCTCTTCCTCAGCCCTTGCCCACGAAGGTGACCATGATGCGCCGGATTTCGACACGGGCGAGGCGGTGGTCGTGCCCAGGGACTGGGCCCTAACGCCGGAGGGACTGGACAACGGCGACACCTTCCGGCTGCTGGTGGTGACCTGCGGGACGCATGATGCGCTGTCAGGTGACATATCCCACTACAACGATTTCGTCCAGGAGGAAGTGCGGGCTGGGGGATCGGAGTTGGCGGCCTATGCGGAGCAATTCCGGGTGCTGGGCAGCACCTCGGAGGTCGACGCACGGGACAACACCCGCACCAACCCCACAGTGCAGGGCGATGGTACGGCCATCTATTGGGCCCTGGGGAGCAGAGTCGCCGATGACTACCCGGACTTCTACGACGGCGATTGGGACAACACCGACCCGGGCCGATTGACGGACGGCTCGGCGATTGACTTCTCCCCGGGACGATTATGTCTTTACCGGGACGCGTACGGACGGCACGGCTGCCGACAGGCCCCTGGGCGGGCCACGGGCAGGCGGGCGAAACAGGAGTTTTTGCGCAATTGGCCTTTCCAGGCCACAGCATGGGACTGACCGATCACTGCTACGGGCCAGCAGAAGTGTCCTTGCGATTCTACGGGTTGTCCGGCCTCTTCAAGGTCGAGGGTTCGAGAGACCTTCAGCCACACGCAGTCAGTAGAGGTCATTCGACCGGTCTGCCATACGGCTCGGCGAGCAGAATACGGCGCGAGCGTCCCCCGGGGGCGCTCGCGCCGTACCGTGTCTCGGGCCTGGGCGAATACCCACGTTCGCCGGAGCGACGAGAAGGGACGCGGGATCAGGCGGAAACCCCACCGGCAAGAGCGGCGAGTCATAGGGGCTCGGGATACTGGAACCGCCTCTTTCTTGCTTTTCCGAACCGTCCCTACGTATAATTCGGCCATCATTGACTTGGCAGGGCCGCCTGCTGCGTGAGGAGCCGATGACTAATTCACACGCACAACCGCTCCGTATTGCGCTCGACGCCATGGGCGGGGATTACGGGCCGCAGGAAACAGTTGCCGGCGCCGTCGCCGCAGTGACCGAGGGCAAGGGCCGTGTCGCCGTCCTGTTGGTTGGCGACGCCGAAGCTGTCCAGCCGGAGCTCGAGCGCCACAACCTCCAGGGACTGCCCATCAAGTTCATTCCGTCCGAGGGCGTGATCCTGGACAGCGAGTCGCCGATGCAGGCGTTTCGGGCCAAGCCCAAGGCATCCGCCATCGTGGGCGTCGGCATGATTAAGGAAGGGTACGCCGACGCCTTCGTAACGATGGGCTCCACCGGGGCAGCCATGGCGGCAAGCGCCTTGCTTCTCGGCATGATGGAGGGCATTGAGCGTCCGGCGTTGGGCGGCCCCATCATCGGGCTCGCGCCGAAGACGGTGTTCATTGAGATTGGGAGCAGCATTGACTGCCGCCCGTCGCAACTATTGGACTTCGCGGCGCTGGGCGTGGCATTCAGCCGCACGTACTTGGAGGTGTCGGACCCGCGCGTTGGCATTCTGAGCGTGGGTGCGGAAGAGGGCAAGGGGAACAGGCAGACCAAGGAGGCTTTCCCCCTGTTCCAGGCAAGCGGCTTGAACTTTGTGGGCAACGTTGAGGGGCACGACCTGTGCGGCGACAGGGTAGACGTTATTGTCTGCGACGGCTTTGTCGGCAATATCCTGCTCAAGGCGTTCGAGAGCCTTGGCGAGGGACTCTCCCGCTACGTGACGGAGCGGCTGGCTCGCTTGTGTCCGAGGCGGACGCCGCGGCCGTTGGCCGGGATGTGTACAACATGCTGAACCGCATCGAGTATACCGGTGGCGGACCGCTCTTCGGCGTTAGGGGCAACGTCATCGTCGGGCACGGGCGAGCGAGTTCCACGGGCATTTCGCAGGCAGTAATCACTGCGGCCCGCCTAAGCGAGACCAACCTGGCCGGCCAGATGGAAGAGGAATTGACCGCGTTACGGGCACGCATCGCAGGCTAAGAAAGACGGGAGAACGAGCTTGTCATCAGATGGCCGAGTTGCCTTGATTACAGGAAGCTCAAGAGGGATCGCAGGGCGATTGCGCTGCAGTTGGCATCGCAAGGCATGCGTATCGTCGTGAACTACCTCAGCAATGAGGACGCCGCCGCCGAGGTGGTCAAGCGCGTCGAGGAAGCGGGTTCGCAGGCAGTGGCGCTCCAGGGCAACGTGACCAAGGGCGACGACGTCGAGCGCATGTTCACACAGACGGCGGAAGCCTTTGGCCCCGTGGAAGTCCTGGTGAACAACGCCGGCATCATCAGGGACTCGCTCCTCATGCGCATGTCCGACGAAGACTGGGACAGCGTTGTAGACCTGGACCTGCGCAGCGTGTTCCTCTGCACCCGCGCGGGAATCCGCACAATGATACGGGGCCGGTGGGGCGCGTGATCAACATCGGTTCCGTTGTGGGACTGCGGGGCAACGCCGGGCAGGCCAACTACGCCGCCGCCAAAGCGGGAATGGTCGGCTTCACGCAGAGCATCGCGAAGGAAGTGGCCTCTCGAAACATCACCGTCAACTGCGTCGCTCCCGGCTATGTCGAGACAGACATCGTGGAAGACCTGTCGCCGGAGCTCAAGAAGTACATCATGGAACGCGTGCCAATGGGGCGTTTCGGTCAGCCGGAAGAGATTGCCACCTTTGTGGGCTACCTCGCCTCAGACGCCGCCAGCTATATCACCGGGCAGGCCATCGCCGTAGATGGTGGCCTGGTGATATCCTAGGCCGCCATGACTACTCCCACATTGGGCAAACCCTTCGCGGGCCGCGTTGCGCTGGTCACCGGCGGGTCGCGGGGCATCGGGCGCGCGATCGCACGGGAACTTGCAACCCTCGGCGCCAATGTCGTCATCAACTACTTCCGCAATCACAAGGAAGCGCGCGCCGCGCAGCAAGAGATGGAGGGCCTTGGCGTCCAGTGCGTTCGTGTGGCGGCGCACCTTGCCGAACCGCGTCAAGTGCGCAAGCTCATGGACACCGTCCGCAATCGATTTGGCCGCCTCGACATCCTCATCAACAACGCCGCTTCCGGCGTCAATCGTCCCGGGATGGAGCTGGAGGAGAAGCACTGGGACTGGACGTTGGACATCAACACAAAGGCCCCTTGGCTCTGCACCAAGGAGGCCGTCCCGCTGATGGAGAGGGGCGGGCGCGTGGTGAACATCAGCAGCCTTGGCGCAAACCGGGTCTTGCCCAACTACCTCTCAGTAGGGGTGTCCAAAGCGGGCCTGGAGGCCGTGACGCGCTACATGGCCGTGGAGCTTGCACCACTGGGCATCACCGTAAACGCCATTTCCGGCGGGTTCGTACCGACGGAGGCGCTGGAGCACTTCCCCAACCGCGACGAGATGCTGGCCACGGCGGAGTCCAAGACCCCCGGCGGTCAACTGTTGACCGCGGAGGACCTGGCGAAGGCGGTGGCCTTCCTCTGCAGTGAAGACGCCGCGATGATCCGAGGACAGGTCATCATCGTCGACGGCGGAATGTCGCTGACGCTCTAGGAGACCGCCGCCGCACGCTCCGCGATCGCCTTCTGCACCCTTCCCGGCGACATCGGCAGTGCGGCATGCGCACGCCTATCGCGGCGTGGATGGCGTTCGCGACAGCGGCTGGTGGCGGCACGATGGGCACCTCACCCACGCCTCGCGCGCCGTACGGGTGGCCGGGGCTCGGCACCGTCACCAGCAGCGTCTCGACGAGGGGCACGTCCAGCGCGATGGGCATTCGGTAGTCGAGGAAGCTGGAGTTGACCATGCGGCCCTCGCCATCGAGGAAGTACTCCTCGTTCAGCGCCCAGCCTATGCCCTGCACGACGCCGCCCTGGATCTGCCCTTCGACATAGCTCGGGTGAATGGGCTGACCCACGTCCTGTGCCGCCGTGTAACGGAGGATCTCCACCTTGCCCGTCTCCGGGTCCACCTCGACGTCCACCACGTGCACGGCGAATGTCGCGCCCTGGCCGCGAGGGCTGACGGACGCGTTGCCGGTGATGGGGCCGCCGGTGGCGTTGAGCTGCGCGGCCATCTCCTTGAAGGTCTTGGTCAGCGCGCTGTCCGAGCGGTGCTTCAGGACGCCGTCCTCATACAGCACGTCCTCTTCCGTTGCGTCCCAAATCTTGGCTGCGCGGGCAATCATCTGCTGCCTGATGTCAACGGCCGCCGTGTAGCATGCCCAACCAGTCTTGAAGGTGACGGAGCTGCCGCCGGTGTTGGATGTGTAGCCGATGGAGTCCGTGTCCCCGATGCTTGGCTTGACGTCCTCCGCCGGGATGCCGAGAAGTTCCGCGAGCTGCATTGACGCAGAGGCCCGTGTGCCGCCGATGTCGGGGGAGCCTTCGACCAAGCCCACGGTGCCGTCGGGGTTGACGCTTGCGGTGGCCGTCGACGGTCCGGTGCCGTTGCCCCAGAAGCCGGCCGCAACGCCGCGTCCGCGCCACTTGCCCTCTAGCGGTGTGTTGTAGTGATCGTGGGCCTGCACGGCGGCGACGGTGTCCGTCATGCCGACGCTGCCGAAGACCGGCCCTGTCAGGCGCCGCTCGCCCTCGCGGGCAGCGTTGATCATGCGGAACTGCAGGGGTCCATGCCCAGCTTCTCGCACAACTCGTCGACGACGGTCTCTACGGCGAAGGCCGCGGACGGGACGCCCGGCGCTCGGTAAGCGGCGCTCTTGGGGCGGATTCACCACCACGTCAATGCCCTCGATGTAGCCGTTGGGGATGACGTAGGGGGAGAACATGCACTGGCAGCCGCCGGACACCGGTGATCCGGGGAAGGCGCCCGCCTCGTAAACCAGGTGGGCTTCCGCGGCGGTGAGCTTGCCGTCACGGGTCGCGCCCATCTTCACGCGGATGTGCGAGCCGGCGGTGGGACCCGTCGCCTCCAGCACCTCTGTGCGGTTCATCGTCAGCTTCACGGGGTGGCCGGACTTGCGCGACAGGATCGCGGCGAGCGGCTCCAGGTACACGAGCAGCTTGCCGCCAAAACCGCCGCCAATCTCCATGGGAACAGCCTTCACGTTCGAGATTGGGATGTTCAGCAACCGGCTGGTCTGCTCTCGGACCATGAAGTGGCCCTGGCTGCTGGACCAGATGGTCAGCTTGCCGTCGGGGCCCCAGTGCGCGGTCGCGGCATGGGGCTCGATGTAGCCCTGGTGCACGGGCGACGTGTGTACTTCGCGCTCGACGATCTCGTCCGCCTCGGCGAAGCCCTGCTCCAAGTCGCCCATACGGAACTCGAAGTGGTTGGCGAGGTTCGTCTCCTCACCATCTTCGCCCTCCTTGCGGTAGCCGCCGGGGCGGAGGCTCGCGTTGGACATGCTCATCAGGCGGGGGTGAAGGATGGGCGCGCCGGGTTTCATGGCCTCGCGGGCGTCAGTAACGGGGGTCAAGACCTCATAGTCGACGTCGATGAGCTCCAGCGCCTGCTCGGCTGCGTGGGCGCTGGTGGCGGCCACCGCCGCGATGGCATGGCCCTTGTACAGCGCCTTGTCGAAGGCCATGACGTTGTTGCTCATGAAGCGGAAGTTGTGGAGCGACCCCTCCACAAGGTCCTCAACCAGGCCGGAGAGCTGCGGCAAGTCGGCAGACGTCGTGACGGCGCGAACGCCCGGATAGGCCTCGGCGCGGCTCGTGTCGATGGACTTGATGATGGCGTGGCTGTGCGGGCTGCGCAGCACTCTACCGTGGAGCAGCCCCGGCAGGTTCACGTCGGCGCTGAACCGGGCGTTGCCGGTGACCTTGTCCACGCCGTCGTGGCGAATGGGCCGGGTCCCCACCACTCGGTAGCCGTTGGTGTAGTTGCCGTTCCGTTACCGTTGGTTGCCATGTTCGTCCTCCACTCGTTATGTCGCGCCGCTATGCCGTTGCGCCCTGCTGCGCTTCCTCTGGGACCCAGGTGATCAACACCGCCGGGCCACTCTCTCCGACGTGAAGCGTGTTGCCGGCTGCCGCGTGGCCGGACCTCACCGTCGCCAACGCGGCCTGCATTCCATCGTGAACGATGGGCGAAACGCTGGTTATTCTCCGACGACTGACCCGTCTGCCATGAGGACGGCTCCGGGCGGCAGCCGTCGGCCGCAGGCAGGTCAACCGACACCATGAACCGCTGTATCCGGTGGTAATTGTACAACCGGGCCACAACCTCCTGCCCGGTGTAACACCCCTTGGTCCAGGAGACCTCGTTCAGGAGACCGGATTCCAGGGGGTTGTTGTCCTCTGTGAACTCACTGCCCCACTGCGGCACGCGCGCCTCGATGCGGAGCGCCTCGAGCGCCTGTCGGCCGATGGGCACAGCGCCGAGCTCGACAGCAGCGTCCCAGAGCGCCTCCGCCTTCGCGGCGGGGACGAACACGTCGAACCCCGGCTGCCCTGCGGGGGCCGTTCTCGCGACGATGACAGAGGCGTGCTGCCATGGCACATCCACGCAGCCCAACTCCGGCAGGGAGTCGACGGAGACGCCGAGCAGCTGCTCCACGAGCGACTCCGCGGACGGGCCGAGAATGGAGAGCATGGCGGTGCTCTCCGTCACGTCTTCAAGGGTGGTGTCTTCATCGAAGGTGAACATGTCGGTCCACTCAGCCACTTCGGTCCGACGCTCCGGAGCGGTGAGCAGGAGCACGTCGTCGCCCCAGGGAAGGACGGTGATCCAGTCGACGACGCGGCCCTTGCCGGTCGTGACGACGGTCGTCTGCCCCGCGTCGGGCGGAAGCGGGTCGACGAGGTTGGTGCTCAGCCGATTGAGCAGGTCGAGGGTGTCCTTTCCCCTTGCGACGATGCGCCCACGGTGGGATGCGTCGGCGATGGCCGCGCCGGTGCGGGCTGCATCATACTCGGCAGCGACGTTGCCGAAGTGTTCGGGAATGGCCCATCCGGCCACCTCAGAGAAGGCGGCGTTGAGCTTCTGGTGCGCCTGCTGTAGCGGGGTTGCCTGCATTCCCTCTTCCTTGCATATACAAAGGCCGCCGTCCAGCGGAGCGCGGGAGGGCGGCCCTTTGTGTGTCGCGAGTGGTCTAGACGGAGAAGCTGGTCCCGCAGCCGCAGGTGCTCTTGGCATTCGGGTTGCTGAATACGAACCCCTTGCCGTTCAACCGTCTGAGAAGTCCAACTCCGTGCCGGCCAGAAAGACGAAGCTCTTCTTGGGGACAAACAGCCGGATGCCCTGGTCCTCGATGATCTGTCCTCTTCCTGGGGGCCGGACTCCACGGAGAGGGTGTAGGTGAGCCCGGAGCAGCCGCCGCCCTTTACGCCTACGCGCAGGCCGAACGCACTACCCTTGGCATCCTTCTCGGCAAAGAACGCGACCTTCTTGGCCGCTCGCTCCGTAATGTGTATTGACAGTGGCGTAACCGTGTCCGGCATTGCCGCCTCCCTCAAACTAAACTTCTATTCCAGTACCCGTATGGTAGCTAGCGGACGTGGGGCTGTCAACGGCTCACGAATGCCCGTTCTGACTCCGAACCGGCGATTGGCATGCCCTACAGTCCACGCACTTCCAGCGTAGTCACTTCTCCAGTGCCAAGGTCGGCCACACGAATGGCATGGTTGTTGGTGTCCGCGATGTAGAGCTTGCCCTTGGCGCAGGAAACGCCGGAGGGCTCGTTCAGACGAGCGTCGGTCCATGCGCCGTCGTGAAGGCCGGATTCCGGCCCGCCGAACAGCGTCACTGTTTCCTTGGTGATGGGGTCAACGCGCTTGATCTTGCTGTTGTACGTGTCCGCGATGTAGAGCGCTCCGCCGCTGTAGCAGACGCCCTGCACATGCTGCAGGAGCACTCGCGAGCCGATCCCATCGCGGTCGCCGAAGTCGAAGAGGTCTATACCCACCAGCGTCTGCACAGCGCTGCCTGCCGTATGTGCCGGTGGCCCTGATGCGCTGGTCTCGCTGTCCGCAAAGTAGATGCGCGACTCGCCGTCGTGGGTGATGCCTGTGGGCTGCGCGAGCCACGCTTGCATGAGCGGGCCGTCGCTGAGACCCTCGCGTCCGCTGCCGGCGAAGGGGCCGATGTTGCCGCTGGCGAGGTCCAGTGACCAGAGCTGGTGCGCGCCCGCCATCGCGATGTAGAGCGTGCCGTTGAGCACGGTAACGTCCCACGGCGACCGCAGCGGCATGCCCTTGCTGGGCCCGGCGGCGAAAACGTCATCGCGGACGTGTCAGTCCGAGATCGTCTACAGACGTCCGCGCTACAAGGTAGAACAGGAATCATCTGCGCAGACGCGTGGTTTTCCTTGTCAGCCACGTAGAGCGTCTCGCCGTCCAGCGCCATGCCTGGGGGTCGCTGAACTGCGCGTCGGCGAAGCCGCCGTCGGTCAGGCCGCGTTCTCCGTCGCCAATGATCTCCTGCACGTCGCCTCCAGCGACGTGACGACGATGCGATGGTGTCCAGAGTCCGCGATGAAGATCCGGTTTCCGGTGCTTTGCTCGTCGGCCAGCAGCTTGCCGGGGAATGCGAGAGCGTTCTCCGCCGCGGCTGTGCACGCTCCAACGTCCATGCGACTGCTGCGTTGCAGCACGCCTTGCTGGTCGTAGCTCGACGACGCGCAGGGACAGGAACCTGCTCCAGTGGTGCCTCGAAGCGGTACTCGCCCTCGTGCTTGCCGAGCACCTTGCCCTCGGGGTCGAGGAAGAAGAGCGAGGCCAATGCGCGCGCCGCGTAGCGCTGCCAGACCTGGAAGTCGCGGTCATTCACCACTGGATGCGGATACGTAGCGGTAGCGGGCGGATGGCCTGCCAGCGCGGCGGCGTCTCTGCTCCGCTGGGAACTTGGCGGAGTGGACGCCGAGACGACCACCTCCTCTGGAAATGCTTCCTCCAGCTTCCGCAACTGCGGAAGTATGTGCATGCAGTTGACTCAGCAGAATGTCCAGAAGTCCAGCAGCACGAGCTTGCCCTTCAGTCGTGACAGGCGGATGGGCGTGTCTGTGTTGAGCCACTCCAGGCCTTCGGGGAACTCCGGGGCGTGAATAGGTCCTGCGATCGCTTCTGTCATGTCACCCTCCCGCATCGAGTCCGCTTTCCCCATTTTGCACCACATTGCCATCGAACGCACCCCGCGGCCCGCGCCGCTTGCTCTGCGCGCCTGCAAACAGGTATGCTCTGCAGGTTGCGCCTGCTCGCGCAATAGGGACGGGACGATGGCAATTAGCGACGCACCTCAACCCATAACCAGCGAGGATGGCAGGCGCCAAGGCGTCTTCCATGGTTGGTATGTGCTGGCGGCCAACTGCGTGATCATGGGCTTCTCTTCAGGCGTCACCAACTACGGCGCGACAGTCTTCTTCAACCCGGTCTCACAGGCGCTTGGCATCAGCAAGACCGTCGCCTCCATCGCCATTGCGCTTGCGAGGGCGGAGAACACCGTGCTCGCGCCGATAACCGGCTACTTTATAGACCGTTTTGGGCCACGGCCGCCAATCCTGGTGGGCATGTTCCTCATGGGCCTCGGCATGATCCTGTTTGGCCTCTTCGCGAGGAACCTGTTGCTCTTTATCGTCACGTGGACGTTCATGGTCTCCCTTGGCGCGAACATCGGAGGTTTTGCGCCCAACTGGGCCACCATCAACAACTGGTTCAATCGCAAGAAGGGCCGGGCAATGGCATCGGCATGGCGTCGCAGGCCACGGGCGGCGTCATTCTCGCGCCGTTGCTGGCCTTCATCATCTCTCGTTGGGGCTGGGAGACCGGCGCGGTTGTGACGGGCGTGGCTATTTTGCTGCTGGTGCTGCCAATCACCAAGCTTATTCGAACGAGACCGCAGGACATGGGCCTGCTGCCGGACGGCGACACCCCCGTCGCGCAGAGGGCGCCGACGGGGTCGACAGGCCACCCAACCGGCGAAGGCTCGCACGCCCAAACGGAGTTGCCTGGCAGGAATTTCACCGTGGGTCAGGCGTTCCGGGCGCCGGCCTTTTGGTTATTCATGGGAGCGCTCGCGCTCCGACAGATGAGCCAGGCGGGCATGGTGCTGCACATGTCGCCAATGCTCCAGGAACGATACGGGTTTTCAGGTGTCGAAGCTGGCTTGCTCGTCGGCCTCTTGGCGGGCCATGGGCGTCGTGGGCGCGCTGGCGGGTGGCTTCATCAGCGACCTTTTCGCGCGGCGCAAGATCATGGGCATTATCGTCGCGTTCGAGTCGCGTCTCGCTGTTCCTGCTGCTGCTCAATGAATTTCCACTTGTGTACGTGTTTATCGTCGCGTTCGGGTTCGGGCAGGGGGCGCACGCGCTCAATCGGGCGATACTGGGCGAGTATTTCGGCAACAGCCACTACGCGCGATTGTGGGGCATGTTGAGCATGGGCACGACGCCCTTTGCCGCCGCGGGCCCGGTGTTCGCGGGCTGGGTGTCGGACAACTCGGGCTATGGCGCCGTCATCTTCACGTTCATGATTCTGTACGGCGTCTCAGGCCTGCTATACTACAACTGCCGCCGCCCTCCGATTCCAGTCAGCGCGTCCCTTTCACGACACGGCCGCCCGCAATCCGTCTGATGACAGGGAGTTGGCAATGACCCTGCCCATACAGCGTGAGCACGTCATGGTCAACGGCATGGACATTCACTATGCCGCAGCCGGCGATGGCCCGCCAATCGTCTTTCTGCACGGTCTGGGAGCTTCGAGCATCACGTGGCAGGAGAACATCGGGCCGCTCTCCGAACGGTTCACGGTGTACACGCCGGACATCCCCGGCCATGGCGACAGCGTGAAGCTGGGCGTCGAGTACACCGTAGAGGCCGGAGTCTCCTTCATCCTCGGCTTCCTGGACGCCGTAGGGGCGCGCAAAGCGCGGCGCTGGCGGGCAGCTCGATGGGCGGCCTCAATGCGTTGCAGACGGCGCTTCAGCGCCCCGATCGGGTGTGTCGATTGGCTACTTTTTGATACAAAGCGGGTTCGGCAGGGAGATAGCCGGGTACCTGAGGATTATGTCGCTGCCATTGTTGGGCGAGCTCCTGGAGGGGCCCACCCATCGCAGCGCAAAGGCGATGATGAAGTTGGTCTTCGGCCCGCGCAAGGAGTACCCCGAAGCCCTGTTTGAGGAGCTCATTCGCACCCGATCGCTGCCCGGAGGTCGGGACGCGAGTGCTCAGGTCACTGCGGGTGGGCGTGAACCTCCTGGGCATGAAGCGGGAGCACCGCTCTCGACCGTTTGCGGGAACTGCAGATGCCCCTGATGATTGTGTGGGGCGCGCTCGACCCCGTGTTCCCCTCGAAGCACGCACAGGCCGCGGCCGAGGCTGCGCCCGCGTCGCGGCTCCTCTTCTTCCCCAACGCCGGCCACTGGCCCCACATGGAGGATCGGAGCGTTTCAACGCAGAGGTGACGGCTTTCCTTCTTGGAGAACCGGCGCCATGACTTCCGAAAGGAGAACCCCATGAGTTTTGACACGATTGGCCTGCTGGGCATCGGTGAGATGGGCAGCGCCATCGCGAGGACGTTGGGAGCGCACGCGACGGTCATCACGACTCTCGAGGGCCGCAGCGCCAAGACGCGCGCCAACGCGAGAGGCTGCGGGCGTCACGGACGTGGGATCGATGGACGAGATGGTCCGGCAGGCGGACCTTGTCCTTTCCGTGCTCGCCTCCGATGCCGCGCCCGTCGTCGCGAGCGAGGTGGCCGACGCCGCCCGTCGCGTCGGAGTGCGGGTGCTGTTCGGCGAGTTCAACGCCATCGCGCCAGTGACCGTGCAGGCCATCGAGTCTGAGTACGCGGACACCATGGACGTCGTCGACGGCGGCATTGTCGGCGGGCCGCGCAGCCTGGCGACGGCCAGCTTCTACGTCTCGGGCCCGCGGGCCGATGAGGTGGCTTCGCTACGCGAGTACGGCATCAACACCGTGCCGCTGGGGCCGGTCGTCGGGCAGGCGTCCGGCGCGAAGCTCTGCCATGCCGGCATGACGAAGGGCGTGTCCACACTGGCTCTCGACATCCTGCTTGCGGCTGAGGCGCTCGGCGTGGCCGAGACGGTCTTGGCGCAGTACTCGCGCTCGATGGCGGGCGTGCTGGATTTCGTCGACCGGTTTGTGCCCGGCAACCCCAAGCGGGCCTTCCGCAGGGCTGAGGAGATGCCGGAGGTCGCGAAGATGCTGGACGCGCTGGGCTTCGACGGGAGCATCCATCGCGCGGCCCACGAGCGCATGCGCTGGCTCGGGTCGTTGGGGCTGGACACAGATGGGGCGCCCTCGGCGTCGGATGTGGCCGCTCGCATCGTCGCCGCCACTCGCTCGACGCCCGCGGGGTAAGTCGGCGGCGGGCAATCGCATTTGGAACCCCGCTCGAGCTTCGCTACCCCCCCTCGACCTCCGGCATGCTGTGGTGCCTGGGTTTCCGAGCCGCCAACAGCGCGAAAAACACCAGCGACTGGATCACTACGTACAACCAGAGAATGACCACATAGCTGCCTTGGGTGTCGAAGACCAGCGTAGCGGCCAGCGGGCCGACGGCGTTGCTGGCCATCTGCCAGGGCAGTACCGCGCCGCGCAGGGCTCCCAGGTGCCGGGAGCCGTAGTAGTCGGCCAGAATGATTTGCTGCGCCAGCAGTGAGCCGGCAAAGGCTATCCCGTGTACCAGCGCGAACACCACCCCGATCCAGACCGAGTCCAGCGCAAGCAACAGCAACGTCCCTGCGATCATGCCCAGTTGGAAACCGGCCAATACTGCCTGCGTGGGCAATCGCTCGATGAGCAGTCCCGCCGACAGCGCCGCCGGAATCCCCACGAGCGACCAGAGCATCAGGAGCGCCACAGCCTGGTTCGCTGAAAGACCCTGGTCGCTCAAAGTACGGAATGAGATTAAAGTTGACGCCGGTGTTCACGAAGCTGGTAAGGCATAGGACCGCCAGGAGGATGTAGAGGGTGCGCGTTCGCAAGGCCTCCCTGAGCGTAAAGTGGACTTCCGGCCCCGTCGCTGTGCCACGACGTGTCCGTGCCCCGGCTGCCTCCTGCCGATCGGGTGCGTCCCCGTCGGGGCGCAGGCCCATGTCTTCCGGCTGACGCTTCATCCACAACAGCACCGGGATGAGCGTAAGACTCCAGGCGAGGATGCCCAGCGATGATGCTGCCCATCGCCAACCCGCGGCGTTGATGATCATCTGCGTCAGCAACGGGACCGCGCCCTGCCCGAACCGCTGACCCAGGTTGCCGTAGGCCAGCGCTCGCCCACGGAGCCGTACAAACCACTTGGCCAGGACCGTCTGATTGGTCAGGTTGATGATGCCCTGTAGCAGCATCCGCGAGATGATGATGACGCCATAGAACTGCCACAGCGTTGTCACGCCGCTCCAGGCGATGAAGAGGCCGCCCATGATCAGGAAGCCAATGAAGAGGACCCATCTCGCACCAAATCGGTCGATGATGGGGCCGACGCCCAGCGCAACGAGGCCCCCCGTCAACGTGCCGATGGCGACGGCGCCCGCAATGATTGAGCGGTTCCAGCCGAATTCGTCCCCCATGGGCTTGACGAAGACGCCGATGGTGGGATTGATGATGATGGCCGAGGCGATGGCCGATAGCACGGTAATCCAGACAATGACCCAGCCGTAGTACCTGCGAGGTCGCTGATGGTCGTGCGGTTCCGTGCTCAAGGGCAGGCGCCTGCTTTCTTCCCCGTGACGCGGTTCTGGTATGTCTTTCGGCCCAAGGTTACGGGAACCCCAGACGCCGTTCCTTCAGGCTGATGTAGCCGTCCCTTGCAAGGATAACGTGGTCGAGCAACTCGGATGTCCAACAGTCGGCCGGCTTCCAACAGCTTGCCCGTCACCTGCACGTCTTCGCGGCTCGGGTCGGGTCGCCGGAGGGATGGTTGTGCACCACGATAACGGACTTGCAGTTCTCCCGCACGGCATCTCGAAAGACCTCGGACACGCGACGTTCGGCGGAGTTTATGGTGCCGTTGTAGACCTCCCGCACGACCATGACGAAGTTTCGGGTGTTGAGCAGCAGGACGCGCAGGCTCTCCTTGCTCAGCCACATCATTTCCGGCAGCAGCAGGTGCGCGACGTCCGCAGAAGTTGAGACCCGCGCCCGTGCGTCGCTGGGGAGCGAGGCGATCCGCTTGCCGAGCTCCATCGCTGCCATCAGTTCAGCGGCCTTGGCCGGACCGAGTCCGTGCTGCTGCACCAGCTCGCCGAAGTTGGTCTGCGCCAGGCCCGAAAGCCCTTGGCGCATGGCGAGGAGTCGCTTGGAAAGGGTGAAGACGTCCTTGTCTTTGGTGCCTGTGCGAAGGAGGATGGCGAGGAGCTCGGGCTGCTGAGGGCGCCCGGCCCCTGATCGCGAAGGCGCTCGCGGGGCCGCTCCTCAGCGGGGAGGTCGTGGATCTTGCCTTGATACCCAGTGGGAGGCGATTGCTCGGCCATCGCGAGGTGTCCTCCCTATGGTGTATCGGTTGCGGCGTCCGGACGAGGCGTCGGCAGCTCAATTGGCCGCTGCTCGTCTGGCACGTCATGCACACGTAGCTCTCTCCCTGCTCCTCCGCTATCCCCACCGGTACGTTGCGTTTCTTTCCACACACGGAACAGTTCACCGCCACCAGGGGCGTGTTCCCCTGTCGCGACGGATCGTTGGCGTAGCCGCGAAACCCCCTGTAGTCCGGGTTTTGCCGGCGTAACGCCATAAGGCGCTCTTTGTCTTTTCCGCGGCTCATACACTACCGCCTTTCGCCTGCGCTGTTGCAGGATGCAACGCGCTCGCCCCGGAGTGAGGTTGGGCATGCCCTCCATTGCTCCGAGGCGAGGTGCTGGCTGTTGTATTCTCGGACCTAGGAGACGGTAACCTTCGCCCCCGCCGCCTCGATCTTCGTCTTGACCTCTTCGGCCTCTTGCTTGTTCACGCCCTCACGGACGGCCTGTGGTGCGGCCTCGACGAGGTCCTTGGCTTCCTTAAGACCCAGGGTGGTCACTTCACGGACAGCCTTGATGACGTTGACCTTGTTGGCGCCGATCTCGGTCAGGGTTACGTTAAACTCCGTCTGTTCTTCCTCGGGCGCAGCTGCCTCAGCAGCGGGGGCAGCCGCCACGGCCATGGCCGCCATGGGCATCGCCGCGCTGACGCCGAGCTTGTCCTCCAGTTCCTTCACGATCCAGGCGGCGTCCATCAGCGACAAGCCCAGAATGCCATCCAGAATCTCTTCCTTGTTCATTGCCCTTCCTCCTCTGTTGTTTCTGCCGTTAGCTTCCTTGTTTCTCCACGTTCCGTTGCAGCACGGTGGCCACGCCCCTGCCCGGCCCACCCAGGACGATGGCGAGGCCCTGCGCCGGGCCATTGACGGAGCGGGCGACCCTCGCAGCCACGCCGGCGATCTGTCCCATCAGCTGCGCCATGAGCACGAGTTTCGGCGGCATGGAGGGCCAGCGCGGTCACCTGCTGCGCCGAGAGGACCTGCCCCTCGACTATCGCGCCGTTGACCGGCATGGTGATTCGCGAGGTGCGGATGTGCTCGGTGAGCATTTTGGCGGCCTCAGCGGGGTCCCCCTTGCCAATGACTAGCCCCGTGGGGCCTGTCAGGAGTTCCTTGACCTGTGGCGTGCCGATCTCCATGGCCGCCAGTGTCGCCAGGGTGTTCTTGACGACGCGGTACTCCAATCCCTGAGCGTGGAGCTTTCGGCGGAAGTCGTTCATAGTGGAGACGTTCAGGCCGGAGAAGCCCGTGCTGATAAGGAAATCGCTGGAAGCCAGCTTTTCCTTAAGGTCGGTCATCGTGTCAACATTCTTACTTGACGGCAACGTTCACTCTCCCATCGCCAAAATAAAAACCCCGGCCGAAAACCGGGGTGCTCTGCGCCAAGGCGCTTGTAACACCACCTGCGTGGGGAGCGGTTGCCATTAAGCCCTTCGGCGACCCACGGTCTTCGGCGACTCTGCAATTGTAACTGAACTCTGTTGGCTGTGCCAGTCGTACTTGCGGCTACTCCACCTTCAACGCTTGTGGGTGTCTGCCAGGCTGAGTCGAAGGCTGGGGCCCATGGTGGAGGTCAGGTGCATGGTCTTGTACAAGTGGCCCTTGACCCCTCTCCGGGCGGGCCTCGGTAACGGCGAGCACTATCGCCGCAGGTTCTGCAGCAGCGCGTCTTCCTCAAAGCTGAGCTTGCCGATGGGCATATGCAGGTTGGCGGAGCGGTCCATGCGGAACTCGACGCGGCCGCCCTTGGCTTCGCGGATTGCGCGAGGAATGTCGTTCTGTTGGACCACGGTGCCCGTGCGTGGGTTGGGCATGAGGCCTCTGCGACCCAGGACACGGCCCAAACGTCCGATCTGGCCCATCATCTCCGGCGTCGCAATGGAAACCTCGAAGTCCACCCAACCCTCTTGCTCGATCTTGCGGATGAGGTCAGCGTCGCCAATGAAGTCGGGCGCCGGCCTCGCGAGCGATGGTCTCGGCTTCCCCCTGGACGAAGGCGACCACTCGCTGGGTCTTGCCCGTGCCGTGGGGCAGCTGCGTCACGCTGCGAATGAGCTGGTCTGCGTGGCGAGGGTCTGCGTTGGTCTTGATGTGCAATTCGACTGTCTCGTCAAACTTGGCCCGTGACATCTCCTTCAGGATGCGGATGGCCTCCGCTGGAGGGTACGGGTGAAGGTGTTCAATCTGTTTGACGGCGTCATCGTAGCGCTTGCCATGGGAGCGGGTGTTGGCCTCCGTCGTCATCTAGCCCTCCACAACTTCAATGCCCATGCTTCGGGCGGTGCCCTTGATCATCTCGACTGCCGACTCGACGTCCGAGGAGTTCAGGTCGTCGAGCTTGTTGCGTGCGATTTCCCGCACCTGGCTTACAGTCACCCTACCTGCATTCTCGCGCCGGGGAGCAGCGCTTCCCCGCTCGACTCCCGCCGCCCTGCGCAACTGGTCGGATGCGGGCGACGTCTTCGTGACGAAGGTGAAGGAACGGTCCTCGAACACCGTGATCGCCACGGGTACGATGTTGCCCTTCTGGTTCGCCGTCTTGGAGTTGTACTCCTTGACGAAGCCCATGATGTTGACGCCATGCTGACCAAGCGCCGGTCCCAACCGGCGGTGCGGGTGTGGCCTCCCCCGCAGGGATCTGGAGCTTAACAATTGCCCTGACCTTTTTTGCCATTAAACCCTCTCAAGAATGCGGCGCCAGCCGAAGCCGGCGCCCGTTGTCCGTGCTTGTTGGCCGCTAGCCGATGCGTTCTGTCTGGAGGAAGTCCAACTCCACCGGCGTTTCCCGCCCGAAGAAAGAGACGAGCACCCGGACCTTGCCCTTGTCCGGCATGACCTCGTCCACCACGCCGATGAACTCGCTGAAGGGGCCGTCGATCACCTTGACGTTCTGACCCTTGGCAAGGCCGACCTTGGCGCGAGGCTGCGCGTCAGCCATTCGCCGGAAGATGTTGGAGACTTCCTTTTCCGTCAACGGGACCGGCCGGGCCTTACGCTCGCCTTCCTCGTCGGCGGAGATGAAGCCGGTGATGCCGGGCGTGTTCCGCACGACGTACCAGCTCTGGTCATCCATGTTCAAGCGGACCAGCACGTAGCCGGGAAACAGTCTTTCCCGCTTTGGGCTACGCCGCCCGTCCTTGATTTCCACCACCTCTTCCGTGGGGACCACGACCTCAAAGATCTTGTTCCGCACGTCCATGGTGGCAATGCGCTGTTCCAGGTTCTTCTTGACCCGCTCCTCCATGCCGGAGTAGCAGTGCACGATGTACCAATGCCCATCGCCACCACCGGGTACGTCCTGGGGGTCTTCCAATATCTGGCCTACGTTTTCATGCGTAGTCAATGCGTCCTCCCTTCTCCATAGGCCCTAGGACAAGGTGTTCCGAGCCAGTATGCTGAAGAGAAAGTCCAAGAGACCAAGAATCACGCCGATAAGACCGGCAACCGCGATGACCACGCCCGTTAACCGAGTGGCCTCCTGTCGAGTGGGCCACTCCGCCTTGCGCAGCTCCGCGTAGACCTCGCCGAAGAAACCCAAGCGGAACATGTTCCGCTGAGCCGCGGAACCCATGCTCTGTTGCAGGGACTGCCGGCGGGCGTTCTGTCTCGCCATAGTGCCTACCGGACCTCACGGTGGAGGGTGTGAATCCGGCAGCGGCTGCAGTACTTGCGCCTCTCCAGCCGCTGCGGGTCATTCCGACGGTTCTTCTGGCTATGGTAGTTGCGCTCCCGGCAATCTGTGCACATGAATGTGATATCGTTCCGGTCGCCTTTCTTTGCCATAACTCTCCTACTCGGGCACGTTTGTAATGACGCCCGCGCCCACCGTGCGGCCGCCCTCGCGGACGGCGAATCGGAGGCCTTCCTCCATCGCGACAGGGACGCTGAGCTTCACACGCATCTTGATGTTGTCCCCGGGCATCACCATCTCGACGCCCTCAGGCAGCCCGATTTCACCGGTCACGTCAGTGGTCCGGATGTAGAACTGCGGCTTGTAGCCGGGGAAGAACGGTGTGTGACGGCCGCCTTCCTCCTTGGTGAGCACATAGACCTCGGCGTCCGCCTCCATGTGGGGCTTTACGGAACCGGGCTTGGCCAGGACCTGGCCGCGCTCGATCTGGTCGCGGTCCACGCCTCGGAGCAAGCAGCCGACTGCGTCGCCGGGCTCGCCGCGTCGAGCAGCTTGTGGAACATCTCGACGCCGGTGACGACGGTCTTGCGGGTTTCGCTAAATCCGACCATCTCGACCTCGTCCTGCACCTTGATCATGCCGCGCTCGACACGGCCGGTGACCACGGTGCCGCGACCCTTGATGGCGAACACGTCCTCAATTGGCATGAGGAAGGGCTGGTCGCGTGGGCGGTCCGGCTCAGGGATGTAGTCGTCCACGGCCTGCATCAGGTCAAGGATGCCCTGCATCGACTCTGGGTCGTCGGCCAACGCCTTCAACGCGGAGACACGGACGATGGGAATGTCGTCGCCGGGGAAGTTGTATCGGGTCAGCAGCTCGCGGACCTCAAGCTCCACCAGCTCCAGCACTCCGGGTCGTCCATGGCGTCGCACTTGTTGAGCGCCACGACGACGGAGGGCACGTTCACCTGGCGCGCCAGGAGGATGTGCTCACGGGTCTGGGGCATCGGGGCCGTCCGGCGCGCTGACGACGAGGATGGCGCCGTCCATCTGGGCCGCGCCGGTGATCATGTTCTTGATGTAGTCAGCGTGGCCGGGGCAGTCCACGTGCGCGTAGTGGCGCGCCGGGGTTTCATACTCGACGTGAGTAATGTTGATGGTCACGCCGCGGGCCTTCTCTTCCGGTGCCTTGTCGATCTGGTCAAAGGCCACGAACTTGGTCTTGTTGTTTTCTTGCTTGCCCAGGACGTAGCTGATGGCTGCGGTCAGCGTGGTCTTCCCGTGGTCGACGTGACCGATGGTGCCGACGTTAAGATGTGGCTTGTCCCGGATGAACTTCTGCTTGGCCATTGCGAAAAACTCCTCCTCAACGATGTGGAGCCCACAGCCGGAATCGAACCGGCGACCCCGTTCTTACCAAGAACGTGCTCTGCCTCTGAGCTATGTGGGCCCGCTTTTGTTTCCCGTACAATTGGAATGGAGGGAGTAGGATTCGAACCTACGTAGCCCTTCCGGGCGCCAGATTTACAGTCTGGTGCGATTGGCCGCTCCGCCATCCCTCCCAGCGGCTATAAGTGTAGCATTGCACGTACCCATCGCCAAGACCTAGGGCGAGCACAGTCCGACTAGGGCGGAGTTGCGTTGGCTCAGCCCCAGACCGGATTCGAACCGATAACCTGGCGATTACAGGTCGCCTGCGCTACCATTGCGCCACTGGGGCGTAGGAAGAGGCACCCGATGGGCCTGCACTGCTGCACAACCTTATTGATGGTAGCGAAACGACTCACCAACGTCAACACACATAGGGTATGCTGAATATAGTAGCCATGGTTGGAGTCCTCTTCTGAATGGAGACTGTGAAGAAGCATTCCCTCCGCCCAACGCCCAACTAGAACGCGCCGTATGGCTTCCGAATTGTAGCCCTCACCCTCGGAATGCTCCTGATGCTTATGGCTGCCTTGGGTGTTGCTTGCGCAGGTCCGTCCGACGACCCGCGACCCGCCGCACCCGCTGCAGCTCCCATTTCCGACGACCCGCGACCCGACACCCTCCGCGCAGCTCCCACCCTCGACGAGACGCCGTGGCCCACCGTGACGCCGACGCCTGACCTTGGCGGCGACGAGGAGCTCCGGCGCGCCCGCTTCTCCACGGCAGGCTGGAAGACAGATTTTCGAAAAGGTCTATACCTCTGAGTGAGATTTTCTCCGGCGGACCGGGTAAGGATGGGATTCCCGCCATCGACGTCCCGGTGTTCGAGGACATTGCCGGCGGCGACGAGTGGCTGGACGACAAGGAGCAGGTCCACGTGGTCGACGTCCAGGGCGAGGTCCGTGCTTATCCGTTGGCCATCCTCATTTGGCATGAGATCGTCAACGACAGTTTCAACGACGTACCGGTCGCGGTCACGTATTGCCCGCTGTGCAACTCCGCCATCACCTTCGACCGGCGACTCGGCGACCGTACGCTGGACTTCGGCGTGTCCGGCGTCCTGCGGCACAGCGACATGATCATGTTCGACAGGCAGACGGAGTCGTGGTGGCAACAGCTCGTGGGCGAGGCCATCATCGGCGAGCTCCTCGGAGAGCGTCTAACGGTCCTGCCTTCCTTCCTGGTCTCCTGGGAGGACTTCAAAGAGGCATTTCCCGACGGGCGCGTACTCTCTCGCGACACGGGCCATGCGCGTCAGTACGGCCGCAACCCGTACGAGCTCTATGACCGGCAGACGCCGTTCCTCTTCTTTGGCGAGGCGGACAAGCGGCTGCGGCCCCTGGACCGCGTCGTTGTGGTCGAGGAGGGCGAGGATGCCGTTGCCTTCCCGCTGTCCGTGCTTGAGCACGAGCCGGTGGTTCACTACACCCTTGGCGAGCAGGACCTTGTCGTGTCTCTTCCAGTTCGGCGCAAATTCCGCTTTGGACGACGCCACTGTCGCGGGCGGCAGGGACGTCGGCGCGGCGGCGGTCTACCGGCCCGAGGCCGACGGGCAGCAGCTCACCTTTACGGCGGCGGGCGAGACATTCGTTGACGACCAGACCGGCAGCCAATGGAACCTGCTGGGCCAGGCCGTGGACGCCCGCTGGCGGGTGCGAAGCTGACGCCCGTGGTGCACGGCACGCACTTCTGGTTTGCGTGGGCCGTCTTCAAGCCCTACACCTCGGTATACGGCGGGTAACCGCCGGCGGGGCGCCAAGCGCCAATGCGCCAACGGAGGTCGTTATGTCATCCAACCTCTATGACTTGGCCATGGGATACCGACTGCCGCCGCGTCGGAGGAACTGTTCACCGACCTCATCCCGACGCCAGGCGCGTGCAGATCGAACGCATCGTATCCAGCGTGCAGTCCGGTGCACAGTCGACGGGCCGTGAAGGCGAGAATGGTACGACCAGCACCAGTGGCGCGTAAGGGTCGCGCTCATTTCCAGGGCCAGCGCAGCTCCCTGCAGTACGAGGACGGCTCTGAAGTGACACTGAACGCCGGCGACCACGTGCTCATCCCGGCGCACCGCAAGCACCGCAGTTCGCTCGCTACACAGCGAGTCACACGCACTGTGCATTTGGCTCGCGGTGGCCTGGCCGGGGGGGCTGGACGTAGTCGAGGGTCAAACTGCTCATCGTTCTAGAGCGGCACTCAGTATGAGAGTAAGTTCTCTCTTGTCTGTTTCGATTGACGCCGGGAAGCTACACGGGGACTAGAGAAAAAGAGCATTGCAACGAATGGAGGGGGCTACAAGCGACACGGTGTATGACGGACCTAGGCAAAGTACTTCGGGCACTGAGATAATACATGTCAACATGGACTACTCGGAGCGACAACAGACTATTACCAGCAGATTGAGCATCAGCGTGATACCAAGGTCTTGGCGTTTCGTTTACAAGTTGATCGTCGCGGACATGGAAACAGCAATCGCTCAAGATGTATTGATCCTTCGCTGGCATATTTTGGAAAGGATTGGCCCAACAAAGTATTTCCCCTACTTCTTCTATAATGGTGGTAAACCTGAGCATGGCGCCTCGTTCAATTTAATGCGTATCTTGGTGATGAACTTGAAGTTTTTTTTCCGTCTCTAATGCACTGAGTGCTGGTACCCACTTATCTCGATTGGCGCTGATGCGAGTGATATTATGACCCAAACAGGCGGTTCTAGGGCCCCCAGAGATCCATAGCGTTGTTAACAGTCCACTGAATCCTCAGGCCACAATCGGTGGCCAGCAAAAAGCAGGTGCCACGTTAGCGTTCGAAAGCGTAAGGGGCTATCTCGCGCAGCGCGGGAAGGTTGCGGATTGGAGAGGCGATGAAAGCCATTGCCTCAATCCTTAGAATTTGCCCGTCACATTATCCCCTAGTGCTGGTGGAATATTTCGAACGCAAGCCCAGATTCGGTTTCTTGATGAGAACTACTGCGGTCGGCCAAGTCGACGACAAAAGCACAAGATTGATCGATTATTACGAGTTTCTATGTGTAGACTCAGGGAAGCCACGACTACACAGTGACGACGAGAGGCGGGCTGAACTTGCGCCTTCCTTAAGATTGATAAGCCGTCTGGGACGAACTATATATGCCGATGAGAAAGGTTCAGTTGCGAGCTATACCAGGAGCGCTTCGTATACTTGAGCCCTTCACCCCGCAGGCCTACCTTTTCGGAACGCGGCCGTAGGGACAAGGAAGCCGGTCAAGTACTCCATATAACACGTGCATTGGTTGAAGGAGGAATCCAATCGGAGGGAGCACCTAGGATACGTATCGTGAATCAGGGAGCCACTAAGGCGAAGTGAACGTGCAGAGAAGGCAACGAGCTTACAGGAGGGCTGTCAAGGATGATGAAAGAACTTCGAGGGTTGGAGGAAACACGCAATGCACACCCTCAGAACCAAAGCGCGAAGTAAGAGATGCGAGCTTCTATTTTCACGAGAGAGAGCCACGGCGGACAATGCATCGTGGGACTCTGCCGCACCATTGGAAATCTTGCCGCAGCGATGAGGAGATAGCGTCGTATCTTCTCCAAACACCCATGGCTTTGCCGAGAATCCCTTGCGTGTGCAACATGCTCCATTGGACGCCACTTGACTGAGTGATCCGGGGGACACCTAGCAATTGCAAACGGAGGCGCCCGAATCTCGTGAAGAGCAGCAGAAGCTTCTCGTTTCCCGATTTCGACACGGTGAGGTTCTCTTCGCGGAGGAGGAGCAGTGGTCTTCTGTCAAGAGTTTGTCATCAAGTGCCGAATGTAAGTTTCTGGATGTCCGACTCGCCTTGCCATTTATTAAGGGGAAGGGGGTCAAGAGCGGCCAACCATGTGTCCGGCGTGATCTCTTGATAGGTCGGGCTCCTGGGTGTCTTTGTTCGTTCGTCCTGCCGCTCTTTGTTCGAGTAGGGTGGTCCATTGGCGCCGTTCCCTCTCTGGTAGAGCGCGTGCGGGGGGCGGGGGGCCGGTGTCGTTGACGGCTTACTGTTTTGCCTTAAGTGGGGTTGTTGGGGAGCTGGTGTGGGTCCTCTTGCAGTCGGTCTTCGTTCCGGTGCGCCGCAGGGCGCGGCCCTTCGCGTTCTTAACTGTGGGACCTTGGCGCTAGCGGCGGCCCGGCGTGGTAGATCAGGTTCGCAGGCCTGCTCCCTGTTGGGCCGGGGCTTTTTTGCCGCTCCGGGGGGGGTTCTCTGGCGAACTGACTGATACGGGTCCCCCTGATCCGCTCCGTGGTGGAACCGCGCCGCGGGTCCTTCGCTAAGGAAGCGAAGGGTGTCGGAGGTCGTGCCCGAATTGCTGCGGCCGAGCGTAGGCCGCGGGGTCGAGGGTGTGTCGTTTTCTCTTTCTACCCCGGTGCGGTAACGTGCCTGCACGCGCACAGCGTGCCGACTCTGCAGCTCAAGCTGCACCGTCTGCACGCGGCACTATCGACGAGTGGCAGGTAGACGTTGCTGCGACAATGAGGAACGTCTCAAGTGCGACACGCCTGCCGCTGCTCGAACGTTCCAACACGACGGCGGGGAATGCCTCGCCGATGCGACCGCCGAGGTGCTTGAGCATCCAGTAGCGCTTGCGCTCGTCCTCTGCGCGGTTGAGGTCGCGCACCGTGTCGACCCCCACTCTCTGACCCTGACACGGGCCCATTGCGCCCACGCCTGCCCGCCGATACCCTTCTACCTATGACGGTCGTCAACACGGATCAGACGAGATTGCACTCGGATTGGGAAAAACGAGTCGTATCTGAAAAGGGCCAATTCATATCTGACTCGTTTCCCAAGAAGTCTCCCCTTAAAAGTTCCTGCGGTCGTCAACATGGATCAAGCTAGATTGCACTCGTTTTGGGACAAACGAGTCGTATCTAAAAAGGGCCAAATCATATCTGACTCGTTTCC